GAATCTAAAATAAAAAATCACCCCATAATTTTCGTACAAAAATCCACATCAAAATTCTCCATTACCTCATTCCGTTATTAGATATCGATATCCATATCAAGTATCATTAAATATCGATATGCTACCATTAAATATCGCTAAACGCAAAATAATCGACAATAGCGTTACAACACTCCATCTAAAAGAGCTCCAAAAATTTAATACGATAAACTTTGAGTATTTATCGATAACCTTATTGATACCCCGCGTCTAGTTCGAGACACGAGTCGATTGTAATTACTCGTAAGTTTGTCGCATGAAATAAGCCACGAAGAAACAGCTGCACGATATTTCTGTTCTAATTACGGAACAAGTTCGAGTAATTTAGCCAACGTCCATCAGCGACGGGGAGAAAGAGAGAGGGAAAAAAAAAGGAAAACGTTACCTCGATAAGACGTATCTGATTTGAACGCTCGGTTGGCTAACTTCGAGCCGTGCACCGAAATTACCCAGGGATCAGGGTGAAAATTGTAACACACAGCCGTGCTACGGTGTGCACGGTTACCTGTTTGATTAAACGGTGAATTGTGTGCTTTTTTTTGCCCCGGAAAAAAAATATGATGTCTGATAACACGCTTCCACCATGACGATAAACTTCCAGGTACCGAAGTTGCCTGATATGAATTTATGGAGTAGGGTAAACGTGCAAGAAATTAGGTATGAACTGACACAATGAAGTATGATGTAAGACTCGCTGGATAAAATGTTGAAACCACTATGTGTTTCAATTTTTTTTTTTAATTAACTTGCAAATTGCAGAGCGCAATAATTTTTCACACTTTCTAGCTTGTTTGGAAGGTCGATGATTATAGGCACTTTTTTAATGAAGATCAAGAAAGTCGATTAGGGAAAATCGTTACTTCCTTTACGGAGATTTTTATCAACGCGAAATGTATACCTAAACTTTGCTAATTAATTACGAGGCTAGTTTGTGCTGCATAATACTGAAGGCTGAGTTTCTTTTGTTATTGGACTTGAGATACATAATTTTAGTGCTTTGTTGCATGGGGAAATTATAAATTTTAATTATACTATTTTTAGTTAGTGCTTAAATTAATTTATATTTGTGTTTAGTTTATTACTCAATTTAGATTATATTCATGTTTAATTTATTATTTAACTTAGTTTATATTTATTTTTTTTATTTAATTTTTTACTTATATGGAGTTTACTTATATTGATATTTAATTTGATATTCAATTTAGATTGTACTTATATTTAATTTATTATTTGACTTTACTTGTACTGACATTTAACTTGATATTCAACTTAATTTATATTTGTATCTAATTTATTATTTTACTTCAGTTGTATTGAGACTTAACTTGATATTTGACTTAATTTATACTTGTATTTAATTTATTATTTGACCTCAGTTATAATGACATTTAACTTGATATTCAACTTAATTTATATTTGTATATAATTTATTATTTTACTTCAGTTGTGTTGACATTTAACTTGATATTTAACTTAATTTATATATATATTTAATTTGTTATTTGACTTCATTTATATTTACATTTAACTTGATATTCAATTTAATTTATACTTGTATCTAATTTATTATTTGACTTCAGTTGTATTGAGACTTAACTTGATATTTGACTTAATTTATACTTGTATTTAATTTATTGTTTGACTTCATTTATATTTACATTTAACTTCATATTCAATTTAATTTATACTTGTATATAATTTATTATTCAATTTCGTTTATACTGAGATTTAACTTAATATTCAATTTAGTTTACTCTTATATTTAACTCAATATTCAACTTCTTTTATATACATGTTTTGTTTAAGTACAAATTTAAATAAAGTTACAAAAAAGAAATATTTTCATCAACATAGAGTTTGCAAGAGATTGCAAAAAGAATGATTAACGAAACACCTCTAAAATATCCATAAATTACATAAGTCAAACCATGTCTCTATTGCACAAATAATACTGGTTGCACTTGATTCGTAACCTTTACTCAAACTCGTTCTCGACATGTTAAAAATAATAAACCAGCATGATCAAACACAGCCTATTATTACACAACCGCTAATGAAACAGCTCGAAACGCAAGCACACGTACCAATCCAGCAAGTACACTTTAGTAAACACACGCTTTCGAAAAGCAACAGAGCATCTGGATGCCTCGTAAACACGGTTGACAAGTTGCTGGAACCGAACAGGTTCGAATTCTTTTTTGTCCCCGTTGAATGCCCGAAGACGCGAAGAACCGCTCGATGGAGAAACGAAAACAGAATTGGACAGAAAAACGGTGGCTACGTGTTCCGCAAACGAAACGCGAGGCCGTAATTAGTTTTGGTTCAAAAAAGAGCGTTAATCGTGGCTAAAAGGTTTTTCGAGCCCGCATGATTAGAACGTGACACCAGGATATATTTCTTCGAGGACGCAGCTCGCGTACGATACAATTTTTCGCACGCCTGTCCCGGATAAACGCCAACGCAGACCGTTATTGCTTTCACAGCGTATTCCCCCCCTTGCACGCAGTGCAATACCACGCACACATACACCTATCGGTTACCCTGTATTTTCGACGAAAGTGAAAGAACGCGGATCAACGACTCCTACCCGAGGAGAAATTCGCCGGAGAACCATTCGGTGTTGAAATCATTTCAGTTTAAAGTTCGTGTCCTCGAAAGAAGGAATGCACGACCTGCGGTTTCGATTCAAACTTGTAACACAATTATGGCGGAACAATTTTACGCGACTTTGACGAAATTTAAAAATTTTTGGTTGGATATTCTTTTTTAATTTCTGTTTGGTTACTGGAAAAATTTGATAATTTGATATGTAAAGTAAATTTGATAATTTGATACGTAAAGCAAATTTGATAATTTGATACGTAAAGTAAATTTCATAATTTATCCCTTTGCACTTGAAGGTAATTTGACTGTTTACAAACAGTAACTTTAAAACTTACTAGTTCAAAAGTTAAATGAATTTTTTTTAGGTTATTATTTATCTACTGAAAAATTCAGTATATACTATAATTTCAATGTATTACAGAATCAGTTGAAAAATGCTTATTTCAAATTATTACATTAAATAAAATGGTGACTGAGAATCACCTTTCGAGCGCAAAAGGTTAATATGTAAAGTAAAGTAAATTTGATAATTTAATATGTGAAGTAAAGTAAATTTGATAATTTAATGTGCAAAGTAAAGTAAATTTGATAATTTAATGTGCAAAATAAAGTAAATTTGATGATTTGAGAGAATGTGAGGTTAGAAGGCAAAATTAGAAAGATTTCTTTTTATCAAACACTGATAAAGTGTAGCTTGTAAAATTTGTTACTCATGGAAGTCATGAATAATTGTAATAACGTTTTCATGCAAATTTTGTAACCGTGACTTTCAGCTTTTTTAATAAAAAGCAGTATTTTAAAAAATAGCCATTGTAATCTGTTTGGATTATTCAATTAATGAAATAAATTTGAAAATTTGTAGATTTGATGATTTAAGAGAATGTGAGGTTAGGAAGCATATTAGAAAGATTTCTTTTTATCAGAGTGTATATTGATAAAGTGTAGGTTGCAAAATGGAGAAAAATTTGTAAGAGATTTGCTAGAAAAAATTTGTAAGATTTGCTAGATTTGTAAATTGAGAAAAAATTTTGTTGTAAATTTTTGAAAATCAGTGTCTGTGTTTGAGAGTTTGTACATTTAAGAATTTGGAAAGGGGGAAATTTGAAGTTTGAATCTAGCAAATATGACAATTCAAAGATCTAAAGTTAGACATTTGACAACTTAAAAATGTGGAATTTTGGAAATCAACTTTGTAATTTAGTAATTTGGAAATTTTGATATTGAAGCACTCAAACACCAAAAAACTTGAAAGTTATAAGAATTAAAAATATCTTTAACAAGTCACATGTTGATAATTTAAAAATTTAAACTGTTAAAAAATTTGGATATTGGATTTTGTAATTTGTGAATTTATACATTTGAAAATTTAGAAGCCTGACATTTTGATTATCCAAAAATTTAACTCAGAAACTTGAAAGCTCAGAAATTTGACAGGTTGCACATTTGGTAAATTTCAAAATAGGGAAATTTATTAATTTGGAAATGTCATATTGATAACTAAAAAATTTTATGTCTTAAAGAATTAGAGAAGTTTGAAAATTTTTGAATTTTTTAAATTGAAGATTTGTGAAGTACATTGATTTGCGAATTTTAGAATTTACAAATTAATCTCTTGAAAATTTTGCAGTGTGCAAATATAGATATTTAGTCATCATCAATAACCATTAACAAATTTGAAAATTGAGAATCAAGAATTTCTTCCAAAATTTAGCTAGAAATTTCATAATTTGGGGATATAGAAACTTGCAAACTTAAAGATTGAGAAATCTGTCAATTTAAAAAATTTGAAAGCAAACAATAATTCAGTAATTTTCAGAACTAAATATTTGCAAACATGGCATACAAATTTGACAGTTAGAAAATTTGATAATAATTTATAAATCTAAAAATTTAATAACTCTAAAATTTAGTACCTCAATAACTTCATAATTTAAACCTAAAAATTCTCAAAATGAAAGAATTTCAAAATCACAACGTCCCCCAAAACTAACAGCTCAGCTAAAATAACTCCCTACTTATGAAGAAACCTTGATACACGAATTTCTTCCTGATTACAAAGGAAGGCACGCCATAATTTTGCGAAACGATCACTTTCGGAGCCCCCTATAATCATGGAGAATTTCTCCCAAATCTGCGAAGGTCGAGAGCGAGAGAAGTTTCGCGAGGAGAAAGTCTGTGGTACACGAGGACGCAACGGTGTCAGCTGACGGAAACAAAGGCGAGAGTCGTGCAATCGGTCATCGCATAGAACGGGCCGATACGGAGCAACCTCAGAGACACAACAGCCGATATAAAAGTGACAGGGGGTTAACCGCAATCAACGCGACGTTTATCTCTTGGAATGACAAGACGCTTACCTGTTTCGGTGAACCCGGTGTGTAGCAGCTTCCCTCCAGCCGATTGTACCACACGAAATGTCACCGTGATCTTTGGCACAACGATACACGACCGAACGAAACTATGTTTTGGCAGCGGTTCGCGGCATGTTCTTCCGGCACGAGATTCTCAACCGACGGACGTTGACATGAGAAAACACGACACCCACTCACAACACGAAGCAAGTTGTCAGAAGAACCGACCGACTGATCGCTCCAACCACTACAGGCCAAGTGTAGCACCGCACTGACTGCTCTCGCCGTTCACCAAGGCGATAAACAAACTCGTCGCCTCTCCCTCGTGAATCTACCCTTCCTTCTCGTTCGTCGTTTATCCTTCTCCCGCCAACGTTCGGCCGTCTTGTTCCCACGGGCTATCGTGAGCCTCTGAACGAAACTTTGCTCTCTCTCTTTTCCACGATCTCGCTACCGTTAGCCCCTCTCTTTCATTCACGTATCACGCGTCCTTCTTCTTACTACGAACTCTCTCTCTCCCCACTCCGTTTAAAGCACAGTGCTGCCCCCACCACATACCTTTCCCCACAACTGCGCGCACCACTCGCACCTTGTCACCTGGCCTGTCTAATTTTCTGATATCTTACGAACGATTCGTCGATGCTGACTCGTGATCGGTAATTAGGAACATTTGCACCGTTCAGGGAATGGAATGTCACTCGCGGGAAAGATGATTGTGACTCGGTTAACCTTACTCCATAACGCGACAACACAGCGTACGACATGTTTTGAGCCACTGACGTCTCCTACTGGCTCCATCGATATTTTGCTGGTGCCACCTACTGTAATCGATTTGAAGACGATTCTATTTATATCAAAGTATTTACAGTCTTTCTTTGTTAACAATAATATTTATTTAAATAACCAATGTTCAACCCTTAATTATCTTATTATTAATTTGTATTAATATTCGCATATTTGTCTGGGCTTTAGTTAAATTTCTACGTTATCTTCAGAAGAACATGTTGGGATCGTTACAATCTACGCTTTAGTGCAGTCTACAGTCTACGGGTTTAGTGCACGCTCGTTTACTGCACACTCGTTTGGTGCACTCTCGTTTAATGCACAATAGGAACCTCTCGCTGACGCATATGGCAACAGACCAACATTTGTTCACTCATAAACTACCTTTTCCTCCGAACAGAATGATCTGACATGTACCAGCAAAAATTCGTTGCACTCAGAATATTTAACTCCGAAGAGCACTCTGATTCATTCAGTCTGGAGTTATGCAAAAATAGACCAACATACACACATGCACTCATTCATATACGACTGAAATTTATATGCTCTTTTTTATTTCTCGACATATTATGACTCGTTTTGAAACAAGATTTATTAACACATTCCACGATATTATAAAGTTACATGAAAACTAATTTTTTTTTCATTAGGAGACTGAGTTGATTGATGATACAAAAAATTAACAGATTATTTGGATATATGACCCTTTTCTGTGAGCCCTCGAGTGTACAAATATCTCATATTTAGAAATTTATGAAATAAATACAAAAAAGAGTAAAACTAAAATGGTGCTGATAGATAAAATACAAATGATTAAATTAAATTGAAATAATTTTTTTTACGAGACACTTAAATTTTGCAATTCGAAGAATTTGTCTGTTAAGAATTATTTTAGTATTGTTATTTAAGTATTAATAATTATTATTAGTGATTATTATTATTCAGTATTATTGTTCTTGTTATCTAATAACGCTACGTTCAAATTCTATTTGCGTACATTATCAGCAGTAAATAAGTATGTTCAAATTTAAATTTCAGATGTCGCCAACATCGCATTTCGAAGTATTGATAGTTTCGAGTGGCGGTAGTATCTGTCGTCCATTTTGTATGTCTTTTCCGGAACACTAGGCATCATGGTGCGTACGTTTTGATATATTTGAATAAAAATCGAAAAATATCCTTGTAATCCGTTATCTAACGTAAAAATAAATTATTTATCAGTAAATTGTCAAGTTTTATTGACCAAAATGTGTGAATATTGGTTATGTAAACTTGTGATAAAAATTTGATTTTTGTGATCGTGACAATTGAGGTTATGTGAACGGATTTTATGGTGTTTTGCAAATACTTTTGAACCTCTCAACAATAAATGGGAGAAAGGTTTGACGAATTGAGTTTCTAGAAATATAATGTATTTTTTTATGGTTTCAGAGTCGCGTCAGAACAAAGACGGTCAAAAAGGCCGCCAAGCTTATCATTGAAAAATATTACACTCGGTTGACTATGGATTTCCATACGAATAAGAGGATATGCGAAGAAATTGCTATTATTCCTAGCAAATCTTTAAGAAACAAAATCGCTGGGTATGTATTAATAAATTACTTGTTAAACTTTTCAGGTCCGAAACACCTTTCAGCTTGTTTAAGCTATAATATTTTTCATCTCTAAAGCGTAGACTGAAAATTTATATTAATGTCTATGCTTACAATTTTTATTCATACCAAAGTCACAACCAAGTATTTGTCGAATGTCTATATAAATTTGTAAGTTATTGTAATTGTTTCCTTTGAATCGTGTCCAAAGGTTAATAACTCATGTAAAAATTCATTAATTTAAAGCTGGTCACGCTTGCAATGCAATTTTATTATTCTCATCTTTGTCAAATAGATTTGTTACGCATTTGATGAAGCGACTCAGACACAGTCAAGTGCGTGGTATTTCCATCAAATTGCAAGAAGAAGAGAGGGAACGCAGAGACAACTATGTTCCTGAAGTTTCTGCTTTGGAACATGACATTATTGAAGTTGATCCGGAGACCAAGGAGATGTTACAGATGCTTGGATTCAACAACATTCCTGGATTACAACTCACACAATCTCAGTTACCGCCGTACAACAACAGACGTTCTTAAAACTTTATTGTTTATACTAAACAGGATTGTTAGTTGTGCACTTTTTAATAAAATTGCAGGCTGACATTCTAAAAAAAATACTTACGTTTTCATATTGTTTCTAGTATGATTTTACTGCTTTCCATACTGATTTGTACAAGGTAAGCACCAAAATTATTCAAAGTAGTTCCATTTTTACGAAACTATTGCTTAATAAACAAGAGTTTAACAAAATTAGATCTTAAAACATATATATGTACAATTTAGCTTATTTCTTTAAAATGCGAAATAACACAAATGGTTTTAACAAAGTGCGCATGCGCAAGCGTCGGCCATTTTAATCGAACCTTACTTTTCGTGACCCACAGTAAGTTCATGTTCTTCGAATTTTTTTTATTGATATTTTAAAGCAAAGATTTCTCAATAAACGTATCAGTGTTGATTTAAATGTTTCCTTAAATATATACTTAGTGTAAATAAACATATATTGACAATTGCATCATGTATTTTATAAAAAATTTAAGATAAAGAGAATATTTACAGACTGAATTTATTATTGATAAGGTGTTTAAATTACTAATATTTATTTTATCAATAATATACTTAAAAAACTCTATTACTTTCAATCATTTTGGTTTTGCTTTGGAAGTGTAAATGTAAGTTCATGTCTAATAGGGTTTTTAATTGATACCAGGTTTCCAAAAAAATCTGAAGAAATTGAAACACTTGAAATGTAATGTTACATTTAAACACAAATTTTTAATAATTTCTTTTAGAACCAGAAAAAGTTACTGTCAAATTAAAGTTTAAGCTTTAAACTTTTGTAAAAAAGGAAGTAACATTAATTAGAATGCTTTAAATTTGCAACATGAAAAGCTGCAGTTGTCAGATGAAATTCATTTATTTTTTATGCTTAACAAATTTTTTGTAAGGTAAAATCTTGAACTACTAGGTTTTTGTACTCAAGCACTTGTAGAATCCACCTTTACGCATTAACCTCCATATGACCGGTGGATCAATCGTGACCCAGACCCATGAAATTCAATATTTCAACTAAAGTTTAACGAATCAATTTTTTAACGAAAAGTTTCGTACATCAGAACATAATATTTAAGGGAATACTGTAAAATTTAGAAAATGAAATATAGGGCAGGGCTACTCGAACCATGGACTGAAATCAACTGAATACGGTAATTTTCTAACGTTTCAACTTTTCAAAGTGCAAAAATTCTGAAATTCCAAACTTCTGAAACGTAAGAACCGCAGAATTTCGTTCACAAATTGATTTAAAAAACCCCAAACTTTCAAAACTTAACGATTCAAAGATCCCTAATGGTAGTCTTTTATCGATCAAAGCAGTAGACTACCTATAAACGATTTAATTTTTAGCGAAAAAAGAAAAGAACCGACTTATCCTTAACACGCACCCTTCGCGATAAACTGGCGCTTATCGATAAAAGTGTATTGCCAGCCTCAAAAAAAGTGTCCAACGAAGAATGTTGCCGTGCTCCTCCAGAAAGTTAGACAATTTCAAGATCGAAATGGTGGAATGGTAACGAGTATATGTATTTCACGATATTAAAAATTACATGCGATTGGCAAACGAATAATAAGAGAAACGCGTTGTTCAGGCAAGGCACCTACGCGCTAGGGCCGGACCTGGGCAAGTCGTACCGAGGCTGCGCGACCTAGCACGAACCAAGGCTAGGTAGCCTACCACAACCTGGGTGGACGGAGCGAGATTGTGGAGAAAGTGTGAGAGAGTGAGCGAGCAAGAGAGTAGGTGTAATCGCACGCCTGCGAATGTCGGAACTCTCGGGAGCAGGGAGCAGAGACCGTACAACCGGCGAGTCAGTCGACTATTAGTGGTCTGTGACTCTGGAGGTAGCCCGACCACCGCAGAACCGAGCCCGACGCAGCTCGGTTGCGTTCGGTCGGTAGTCGGGGCCAGTCGGGCGCTCCGTTGCTCTTTTCGGTCTGCTCGTTTTCCTCAGTCCGTCGTCGTTGCGCATCGAGAGCAGTTGTATATCTTTCCTTTTTTGTTTCGTTAAAACGCAACGAGCAAGTACCTTTCTTGAACGCGCTATGTGACGGATATCACGGGGCACCGTGCGTACCCCGCCTCTTTTGTACATCATTTCCACCCTCTCCTTTTACCCCAGCAAAAAGCGAGAGAGACACAGAGAGAAAGAGCACGTTGTAAACGCAGGCACGTACCGTACGCCAACGGAGGGGCCACGAGGGCCCCGTGCAACTGTGCCTAGGAAAACATGGAGTGTCCACATCTTGCTCAAAGCGTCCAATTCGGCGGTAATGACGTAGAAGCTAACTGTACAAAGGATCTACCATTCGTCTGCGCAGGTAGGACCTCATACAAAAATCCCCCGAGATTATCCTCCGTTCGGATTCGTAGGTGTCTCTTTGTTCCTCGACCCATCCTTCTCAAATCGAATACTATATTTCGTACGTCTTTCCTCCTCGACTCCGATTCTATTGTCTCCCAACTTCTTTTCTCTCTTTTGCGTTCTTTATCCACCATCTTTCTGTCTCCGTCTGAGCTCCTTCTCTTTTTACCTCTCGTGACCGAGGCCCCGGCCGTTCCTCTCGCGGCCTTGAGCCGTCGTAGCCGACAAGACGGAGCAGACCATTTCTATTTTCCTTCCCAAACATTTTCGAAAGCGACCGTGTAAGTTTGTACATTTTGTGCGCGATATCGATGACACTGACTGCCGGATGCACTGTATGCAACTGATTCGCGTGGATATCTATATGTGTGTGCGTGTGTGTACGTGAAAGTCCACTCTTCTCGTATATAGGTGTCTGTGTGCGTTCACCGTTCATGGGTGTTCACGGAGCGTCGCCGTCGCCGTCGCGAACGTGCGCGTGTGCATCGTCCTGCTGGGAGTTCTCAGTATGCGGCGCGGTCGTCATTGGAAAATCAATACCAGACGGCACTAATCAGCTGGTCTGAGATCTGTCATTAGAACTCGCCAGATAAAACGTGCCTCGACGTTTCCGTTCGACAACCTGTTCCGATATCTCCAAGACCACCAAACATTCGCCAAGATAACGCCCTAACCTCCAACAAGGAGTCATAAGGGTCTCCCTCGAGGTTTTAAGACGCATCCTACGAGGACAGTTGGTCCTTACGTTCCAACGCGTTTCACGAACAGAATCTCGTTCATCACGTTGGCGAGTGGCGAGAGAGTAGCGTGGGTAGGGGGGATGAGGAAGGAGGCAAAGAGAGGGAGTTCGTAGAGCATTTTAGCGGTGTACCAGCGATGAGTCAGAGCGAAGGATTTTTTGCAGACTTTCGATTGCTCAACGTTGTCGTGTCGATCCGCGGTTTCCCGAGTCATGCCAGTCGAGATGGTCCATTCGACCCGGACGATTCTCAGCCGTTACGCTCGGCGAATCGCGACGTATCCAGATTGCGAGATCGATTGAAATATCCTCGTGTCGCGTTGCCGGTAAGGAATTATCAAGCTGCTGTGCGGCGCAGGAGAAAAATCGTCCCTCGTGGGCTATAAAAGAACCCCATGTTCCATAGCGTCCGCGCCTCACCAACCCCCCTCCCCCCTCAGCCCCTCTTCTGCCTCTTTTCCTGCGCTGCAAGCTGGTTCGGGTACGACGTTGCAAAATCGATAACGGCGTCGTTGCTAATCGGATGCCTCGATATGAGTGGCACATTGCACGGACAAATTTTAGCTATGGTCTTACGGATGTCGTCATCTCTCTCCGCTTTTTTTTTCTTCCTATCTCCCGTATCTCCGGGAAAAATCAAAATGCGCAGTAGGCGTGGCGAATCGCTCGTTTCCAATGACGGAATTTAACGGAAAGTCGCGTGATTGTTGGATCGACTGTTATTCGATTTGTTGCTGCGATAACGGAATGTTTTAAGCTGCGGCAGTAACTTTACGCATTTTTGCATAGAAAGTTCGGAGAACCAGAACTCTGGATGCCAAATAATTAATAAGGTTTAAAGTAGTTAGAAGAGAAACGCATGTATTGGAGTTTAGCGTGGTTGGTAAAGTGCCTGTCGATGGAATATTTTTGTCGCGAGTTCAAATCCCATTAAAAATATTTTACAGAATATTGTTTTTATTTTAGTTTTTTTGTAACTGTTTCATCGAATCGAAAAATGTTAAATTTTTTTAGGAATACTTTGTGTTTGTCTGATCTGAACTTTTCGAGGATTGGATTTCACGTTTTTGGTGCACGTAACTAGTCTTTTTATTCCCCGCTGCAAAGTTTATTTTACTGACTAAGAATAGAAGAGTTGCGTCGAATCGCCTATAATCTTTCCAGAAACAAAAGGAACAGTGATTAATACTTGCACGATCACAGTTCGGTTAGGTTAGACTTCCAAGATTCATTTTCCTGCTTAAATGTTTAAATTAAGGTCAGTAAATTTGACTATAATATAGTGCAAAATAAAAATACGTATTTTATATTAAAACTTGAAGTTCACAGAAGCATGAGTTTTTCGCCACCAGCGTATAGATCCGTCATAACCAGTTCACGAAAGTAGCTCATACGTCATATTATTTGAACAAAATTTTACCGAGGTATTTCAGAATTAAAAGAATTGAAGAAACTCGATAATCTACATAATGATTTTTACTACGACGTACGTACACGTCATCACTTAAGGGGTTATAGGTTCAAACCTTTTCAGACTATCGTGGCTGCAATTTCACCTCTCAAGAATTATTTATACTGATCATAAACAATTTTTGTATTTTCCATTTAATTCCCTTTTAAAATACTGGGGCGAAATGTATGATATTAATGTGGTCATTTATTTTTATGTTGAATTCAATACAAAAATGAAAAACTTGTATTTCTCTATAGTCTTTTATCGCAGTTGTAACTTAAACCTTTCGCTATATTTTATTGGAAAATAATTAAGTTCCTTTTAAACATCTCTGAAATATAAAAATTCTGGATTTCTTAAAACAAAATTTGACAACAATTTTCTGACAATACTTTCAAGAGATACAAACTGGTATAAATAATTAAAAATTTTGTAATGACATAAAAAATGCGTATTGTGCAAAAATCAATATGAACAGTCATTCCATAGTAACATCGCTTTCGGGTGAAAATGCCCCGAAGATCGTGCAAGTGTTAAAAATGAAATGAGAATTCAGAACGTCGCATCCAATGGCATATACTTCCTCGTGGTGCTTAATTGTAGAAATGCGTCGTCTTGGAATGAGATCAATTAAAGTTGACGCGTAGCACAGCGTTCGCTTCGAAATTCTGATGAACATCGCGTTGCCAAGAAGGAAAAAAAAAGGAGATTGAACATGCAAAATCCCGATAGAACTGTGCGAGACATTTCGCGATCGATCGACTGCGAAGGGGGTGTGTCGAACAGCCTTCCTTCCTTCCATTCACCCCCCTTTTACGCGCTCTCTTAAGAATTACGTAACCCAAAAAGATGGCACATCCCGTTATGTCGTAACAGTCGAACCATTTTTTTCAACCGAGTTTGTTTATCGAACGTCAGGAATTATATAGTTACATTTTTGTTGAAATAATAAGAAAAAACTAGGTTAAATTGCTATATTCACGAAATTTTATTATTATAGAAGAAAGGGATATTTTTTAATAAATATGCAGGTAGCTGAAAAGGTTTTCCTTCCGCTTTAGTTTGTAATATTGTTAATAACAATCATGGGTTAATAACAGTCAGCTGGACATATGGTTCAATAGAAGGTCTTATGGCCTCATACTAGGCCTTATGGCATTGAAATAAGCCTTATGGCATTAAATAGGCGTTATGACATTAAAATAAGCCTTATATTAAGGCTTCTATAATATCATGTCAGAACCTATGGCATCAAGCAGTGACCTCATAACATTCTACTAGGCCTCAAGGTATCATACTATGGCATTATGACGTAATACTAATCCTCATAGTCTCATACTGAATATCCTAGGACTAAGACTTCATAATCTCCTAGATCTTATAAGTTCATACAAGGACTCATAGTATGATACTAGGCATCAGAAGTTCATACTAGGCTTTATGATACTATAGAGGTACATGACCTCATCAGGGGCTAAAAGATAGTATGAGTCCCAAAAGCTTGAGTTTCATGACATCGTACTGAAGCTGACTGTATGTCGTCATAGCAAGTATCCCATGATCTTATACTTGGCCTCATGACATTGTGCTGGATTTCGCATGGTTTCGTAACGAGTATTGTGACCTCATACCGGGTCTCATAGCATCGTACGGTCTCACAGCATCATAGTTTCACATAATAGGTGTAAACCTTAAATAAGTCTCACAGTAGCATAAGCCTCATGGCTTCATACTACAGCACGTAATTTTTGTTGTATGATTTGATGCTATTGGACCTCGTATGAGAACATATTTTCTTTCTATTGATACAAATAAATAAAATATAAATTTTTGAATATTTTCAAATGAGTGGGGTAAATGTTAAAAAAATTTTAGTAAGAAAAAAAGATGGTCGATGTAGAGAGAGATTTTTATCGAGGATTTTATGGTTGTCGATAGTGTGCGGCACCGAGAAAAGTACGTGGCTGTGTCTGTACTGCGGAGCCGTTCACTGCGGACGATACGTGGCAGGCCATGCGTTAAAGCATCACGAAGAAAATACTCAGCACTGCGTTTGCATCGACTGTGAGAACCTTGCAGTATTCTGGTAAGTCGAACCCTACGCTTTCGCCGTTCTCCTTGTCACACGATACATGGCCACCTAGTCTTTTTCGATACAATATTCAACATATCGCCTTCTCTCGCCTTTCCCTTCTTTTATTCGTAGGCGGCTGCCATTCACGCTGACATTTTCTTCCTTCGTTCCTCTATTATGTTCTCTAGAAATTACTAGACAATCCAATTATGCTGCCGCATTTCTTAGAGGAAAGGCAATATAAGGAAAGCTCCATGACTTGCCTTGATATCGATTATTTTATGTTATAGATTAGGTGTAGATTAAATTTAGGTTGGATTAAGGTTAGGTAGGTCTAGTTTAAGTTTAGGTTGTCTAGGTTAGGACTAGGTCAGATTAATTCAGGTCTAGGTTTCCTGGTTAGTTAAGTCTAAGGTTATATTACTTTAGGTCTAGTGTCATTATGTCTAGGTCATACTTAGGTTTCATGCTGCAATGTACAATTTTTAGAGAGGTTGATAACCTAACCTAACATAAAATGTTCAATTGCTTTGTTTTTCAAACATCATTCTCCAGTATAAAATCCAGAAACATATTAATGTTAGGTCTCGGTTATTAACTTGAGTTTAAGTTACATTAATTTGTCTAAGTTGAACCTAATGTAAATAGAGGTTAAGTTGTCAATGTAAATCAATGTAACATAAATACTCTGCATTATGTTTAGGTTAGGTTTTCGTTAATAGTGGTCTATTGATAATAAGACATTCACACCCCTCCCTATACAGGGAAGACTAGTTTGTCATCAATTTCTAAATTATAAGGAGTATCCTCATTGAAATATATTTTGCAGTTACACATGCGACGAATATGTCGTCAACGACACGACGACCGGCCAAATCGAGAAGATACGTCGCGTCACGTTCCGCAAGGACGAGCACAAAGAGAACGAGGAGAATTGGAACACGTCGTCGTCGACGACACCGTCCTCGATGAGGGAGAACAGCGACAACGATAATGACGCGGACGCCTTGTGGAAGGCGGAAGTGGTGGTAAGGAACCTACGGCCAAGGACGGCGCGGAAAAGGCTGCACTCGTTGGACGGCACCAGCGGGGACAATCGGCCAGCGACCAAGCGTAGGAGCTCGAAGATAACCAAAGAGAAGAAGGTCGTCGGCCTGAGGAACCTGGGCAACACCTGTTTCATGAACGTCGTGTTGCAGTCCTTCAACAACATCAGCCACTTCTGCGAGTACCTCACGCAGATGCCGTGTCTCGAGGGCATACCTTTCGACGAGCCGCCCACGCACAGGGGGCGAATAGTGACCCCAGGAAGGGCGAAAGAGTTCATGAACGACGCCTTGTTGGCCGAGGAGCTCAGGAAGGTTCTGTTAGGCCTTAACCTCGGCGGTTCGAACGGTCAAGCAATCTCCCCCGAATGTTTGTTCCTCGTCATCTGGAAGGTCGTGCCAAGATTTCGGGGCTACCAACAGCAAGACGCTCACGAGTTTCTCACCTACATGCTCGACAGGCTGCACACGGAGCTGCTGCAGTTGCTGCCCAGACTAGGGCACGAACCCCTCGGTCTGCGCGGTAAGCAGAGCATCGTCACGGCCGTGTTTGGAGGCACCCTTCTTAGCGTGGTAAGTCATCTAGTCGTCGTTCTTCAGCGGAGGAGACTCTGTGAGCATTGGACCTCAAACGGCGGATGGCGAGTCTTCAGGAAAGAATGTACAGCGCCGTCCTGGTATATGGTCTATTCAAGTTTCCCTTCGCATAGGCTTCCATGCACAATGGTGTTGTTTCTTCGTCATCGTAGTATACGGAGATTCATCACGACCATACAATTTCGCCGAATATGGTCGCAAATACTCCTTTGAACGCCGAGTGTTAGATTGCCGCGCATTGTATTGCCTGGTGTTATATTACCACGTACTGTACTGTCATGTATTATATTACCACACGTTATATTGCTACTCATTGTATGTCCACACATTACATTCCCACTCATAATCGCCACACTTATGGCTATGCGTTAAAGCTTTGACCCTTTACTAGGCCTCATAGCTTCAGACCAGGTTTCATTGCCTCATAGAATCTGACTATCTCATGATTAATCTTTGCTTCATGCTAGATCTGCCTTGTATTGGATCTCATTGTCTGTTGCTGGAATTCGTGATCATATGTTAAGGATCATTGTGCTGCAGGATCATCTACTAGTGTCATGTTTGGATCAGTTGCTTCATTTTGGCTCTATGGCTTCATGCTCGTCCTGATATAATTATACTAGACTCAATGGCCTCATATTACACTTCATGGTCTTATTCTAAACCTCATAGCCTTATAGGTCATTTGCTTTCAAATCTGGTATGGAATTCTTTAAATTTGAAAATGTATTCTATTTTATTCACTGTGTGAATAAAGTTCCTATTCTGCACTATATACATTAAAACAAATTAGTCCTTCTTCTACTGCATTGCTTCCCAAGGGCAGCTTATTTGTTACCATGTAGGTTTGTGCCTAAAGGAATTGACTGTGAGGCTTTGTCCATTAAACATAGTGTGGATTGATGTCCATTTATGTAACCCTCTTCACAATCTTGTAATTTGATAACCATACCGGCCATATAACGGGACACCAGTGTACAATTTCCAGAAGAGTTAACAAGCAATTAAGCCATCTACTGATTAAGGATCAATGCGTTTCTGGTCAGATTATGTTGTACCGACGTGGAACAACGGGAGGGAGTGCCCTTTCCTTATCAACGTTCTTTTTGGAAAGTCATTTTATTCGTTTTCTTCTTGGGAGAAGCGCGGACAAATTATGGATCGCGTTTCCTCGCGCAGGTCCACTGCATGAACTGCCGTACAGATTCCAAGACGCACGAGCCTTTCCAGGATCTTTCCTTGGACATACCAGACAGGCTGCAGAGACGAACGAAAGAACAGGAAGAGGTATGCAGTCTAACCTACAGTTTGTCCAGATTCTTCAAGGTTGAAGAGCTGGCTGACAGTGAACTGTACTTCTGCGATAACTGTATGGGAAAGCAGAGGTCCACTAAGAGGTTCTGGATACACAGGCTGCCTAATGTTAGCATCTGTTCATTATGTATTCTCTACTTTGTCCTTATAAGTTGGTACAACTGTTATGGTTTGTTGCAGGTGTTGTGCCTTCACATTAAAAGATTTAGGTGGTGCAATTCCTATCGCTCCAAGGTGGACACACAGGTGGATTTCCCCATGAAATCGCTTGACATGTCTGCATTCACAGTACGTGGCATGACTGGGACTAAATTGGGCGCTTCGAATAGCCACCTGTATGACTTAGCTGCTGTTATCGTGCACCATGGTTCTGGGTATGTTTCACATAATTTATAGAATCTTTTATATTTTTCTGTTTAAGTATATGAAATTGCATATAGCTGAAGCTTTTAAATATATAAATGTTCTATTTCAAGTAGTCAACACTGAATATTTTAAATATCAGTGTACAGTATTTTCTTGGTAGAGGTAATAAAGTAGATGACTTGATGCGAGCTTTAGGAATTGCAAGAAAGATTTATCTTCTGCGCTGTTTCCATTAAAGTGTCATTGTGTATGAATAAAGTTTTTTGTAAAGTGCTGTTTACAGAACCTCAAATAATTCTGAATATTTGCTATAATTTTTGGTTTTCAAACTTTTGTATAATATATTTTTGACTCAGGTCACTACAAATGGTACATTAAGTGTCTGCAAAGGTAATGAGCCTTGCGTTACAAATTTTTATCAAGTTAATACAAACAACATTTACCAACTTCCACAAATAATTCTGTGGTTAATCTCAGGCTTGACGTGGCTCCAGGTAATTTTTTGTGCAGAGGTTAGGTCACAGTAAGAATAAAAAAAGGTGGTTATGGCAATATCAACCTGAGCATGACTATTTATGTATACAGCTGTTTCTGTAGCTTTGTATGTTTTATGTAACTTCGAAAATTATTACAATTGCAGTGCTGGAACTGGACATTACACTGCCTTCGCTGTTCACGACGGACAATGGTTTCACTTTAACGACAGTTCTGTACGCCCAGCAACCACAGACGCGGTCGCCAAGTGTAAACCGTACATTCTATTTTACGTGCGGAAAGAATTCTCCATTCCACCCCCTTTGTGACGTTATTTCCCCAATCAGTCCCGTCCTGACGGTGCGAGCATCGACCACGACGACGATGATAAACGGACGAGCAAGAAGTAAGCGAACCTGAACGGGATGCAGCATGGTAAATGGCCAAACGAACGAATAAGAAGACCTCGATAATTGTTTCTAAAAGAGTAAAGGAAGAAATGTCCCTCCTTTTTTTATTCAATTTAGCATGTGTATCTTTTGTTGCCGCAAATCCTCTGCGATATAGCGAGGTCGTAGAACTAGCACACAAAATGTTAAAAGGGTAATTTATGAGAAAAGGACCTGGAGCAAAGGGTTATGTATAGTAATATGGTTTATAATTGTTTCATATTTTTATGGGCCATTTCTACATTTTCAGAGTTCTAAAGTTAGAAGTGTCAAAGCATCACAGTTTAGAAATTCAAAAATTTCAATATCTGAATGTTGGGAAATTTCAAAGTTCAAGAGTCTGAAAATCTCTTAGTACTAAAGTTCTTCTAGTCCCAAAATCCTAAAGTTCCTAAATTCTATTTAAGTTTCCCCTAGACTGGAATTGGAAGCCCAATTGGGATTTCCAAAGTTTCAAAATCCTTGGGTCCCAAAATTCAAAAATTCTAAATTTCAAGATCTCAAACTTGCAGATCCAAACTTAAAAAATTTAACAGTTTTAAAATTCCAAAATCAACCCTAAAATTTCAAAGTCCCAACACTTAAAAACAGTAATTTTAAAGAAGGATTAAACAAAAAGTTTCTCTCTGTTATTTTCAAAATTTCTATGTTATATGCTCTGCAACTCACTAAAAATTTGCTCTATACTTTGTATTAAAATGAAACTGAAGCACAATGCAGACTTCATTGAGCACTCCTTGACAAGTGTTCAATTTACAATCTCGTTATATCGCAGTATTATATTTCCTGTAAACTAAAAGTATTACTCGGCATCGTATATTAATTTTGCCAGGTGCGAACAGCTGATTTAGCACGATGTCTTTCGTCGTTCGTAGCGAAACAGACTTATATGGCTCGCGAATGAGTGACCAATTATTTTTCCGGCCCTATAACCTTCTCTCCTAGTTATTTATTGTAATCTCGATTAATCAAGCGTTTGCATGTAATTATTACACATATGTACACTACTGCTCAAAAGTCTTAGGTCATTGTGAGATTCGAAAAAAGAGTCCGCCATGTTGCTTCATTATAACCTATGCTAGACTCTAGCATTCTAACATTCCTATATTTTTGAATCACGAAGTAGTCGTTTGCGTTTACGAAGAATTAAGTCTACATGTTCGATAAACGGTTTTTTTTAAGTATAATTTTCTTGAAAACCTTATGTGTCTTAAGACTTCAGGGCTGTGGTACGCCTGATGCATACTGGCGATGACTGCGTGCAACTTAGGCTTCCCTTGATTAAAAGGAAGCGTCTCACTACCCACCCTTGTTTGTCCATATTCCTCACGTGCGAAAATAGGAGGTTAGGTTAGGTTGTCCCTGGATCTTAAGAGAAGCCTACGTTGCAGCCGAGTGTACATGTAGGGTCATGGCGTACGGAGCTTCCTTTCCTTTTTTAGAAACAGAAAGAAAGAAAGAACGTTCTCGAGGCAGATCGCGGAAACGCATCGCCTTTAACGTCGATTTTCTTTATGCTCCTTTTCGCTGATTTCTCTCGCGGTTACGTCCCTTCGTCGAATCGATTAAAAGAGCTCCTCCAAGACCGTGTAGCGGAATGGCGCGCGCGCACTGTGCGCGTCACGTATACATATAGTTTTTAAAACGCGAAAACGACTGGTCTTCTCGGTATAGGATTTCTTTCTAGCCTTAGCATCATCGTTATTTCGTGGGCTGGTGAACAAAAAAATACCATGTAAAGCCAAACGACCCGACTCGCGGTTCTCACCTGGATATAACGCCTGACCTGGATATAACACCTGGAAAGAAACCTGTTTCTTTCTGACTGACCGGATTTACGACCACGCTATATCTAGAAGAGGACCGTACCTCGGAGAACATGTTAATCCCTTTTTATTCTTGACACGCGCGCGCACACACGTACATACATACACCGGAGTCGTTTACACACGTGTGTCGACAAAATTACACGTATGCATGCATATACGTAACACGTTCTCTGTCCCACCCCTCCTTGTCCCCCTACGATTCTCGAAGGCTCGACGACTCTTATGTGATTATTTAAAGACTTATTTTTTCTATAATGGTAAGGATAATAACGATAATAAGTTAAAAAGAAGCGTAGCAGAGAAACGTTTTATTAAGGCGATAAACTCGAGAAATGAAAGAAAAATAAAGATGGAAGCAAGCGTGTGCAACACTACTATTTGAGGATAAATGAGATATGTACGAACGACGTATAAATAAAGAACATGAACGACGAATAGCCATCGATTTTATTGCAAACGACACTTTCTTCCTCTTTCTAAAATTTCAACGTGAATGTGTAATTTTACACATGACTTTTTGAGCAATTTTATACTTCACCTACAGAGTAGGTATCCTGCTATCGATTATCACAGGAAAAATAGCACAATTATTTTTTCTTAACGTATATTTTAATATTCAACGTAACCAAATGTATAATTTTACAAATGTACAAACGAAAATTACCGTCAGATGTACAGTATCATCTCTTCTTTATTTACAACGGAAAACGAGATTTCTTCTTTGCCAACGATCGGTTACAACGTGACCTGTGTCTAAGTGAAACTGGAACAATCATTCTATAAAACTTCAGACAAAAACAACCTCTCCCAACGTTCCTCCTTTTAACCCGTTCGAATTTCTTGTTCTTGGCTACATTCTCGTCCGACATCTTCGGAACGACCGTCAAAGAAGTGCCTCGAAATTTCACTCGTTCTTTCCTCTCCATCGAAACTGGTCTAATTTCATCAGTCGGTGCATTCTCCCTAGCGCTCTTCACGAAAAACACCGAGTAATCCCTGGCTGATTCACGGTCGTTCGAGTCCTTTGCTTCAGTTTCAGACTTATCGAAAGTTCGAACCCAGAGGTCGTCGCGGTCGTACCTTCTGTATGGACGTTCGGTCTCGTTGTCGGAAACGACCGACGACTTCTCATCTGGGGAATCAGGGTTGCCTTTTGGCTCCCCGATGCCTTCGATCCTCAGCTCTTTTACCAACGACGACTCCGAGCAGCTAGCTGCCAGACTGTCGTACTCTTCTCTATAGTCACTGTTCTTGTAGATGACGCTGGTTGTATCTGGATTAATCTTGTCCTTCTTCGACCTCCTCAGCCTCGCTGAAACCCTTTGAACCAGTCCCTTCATGCCGTAAGCCTTGATATCATGGTCCACCCTCTCGCTGCGAGTCACATAATCGATGATGTCCGCAGGCGTCTCCTCGAATCCAGAACCCGCCAATCGGGTTATGCTGGGATGGTGTTCCAGGTGGTAAGTCCTGTCCGGGGACTTCTTGTCCAGGCTGGTTCGCCCGGGGTGTTTGAATCTGATGGACGAGACACTCGTCTTCTCCGAAATGGTGAAGGGAAATCGGTCTTGGCTCTTTCTGAACCGCGGTGATTCCCTGGTTCTCTCGTATCCCTGCAGCTTAGACGTCGACGAGTGCTGCGCAGGCTTATACACTTTGTCCATGAAGAAGGTTAACGTCTTAGTCTGCTCTGGGTAGATGCTCTTCCGAAGTTCCTCAGCGGCTAACTTCTCCATGGAGAATCGAACCTTGCTCTGATGGATCTCGTCAGGGTCTTCAGAGGAGGAAGAATCTAGCGATGTTTCGGCGACATCACCGATTTTACTCTCCCTCTGCTTTTCTTCGAGTCCTTTGGCTGATTCCAGGTCCTCCAAACCGCTTTTCCATTGATCATCGTCCACCTTCTGCTCCTCTTCCTTCAAATTCTCAGTTGTTTCAGATTTAACCAGGAACTCGTAGGAGTCCCTCAGGTTGGAATTAACTCTATAGGTATCACTTTGTGCCTCTTCTGGTCGGTCGTCGTCACTCGCTATTTCTAAAGGCGTCAGACAGTTTTCTGAACGATCGTTCTTCAGCTCTGGACTCGACTTTTCAGAATTTCCTGATTCGGGATGCTCCTGATCCTTGCAAGTCTCGTTTGCGAACGACTCTAACGTGCGACTATTGGACTCAGTTCTAGCTGACTCCAATTGACCTTCTTTAGACAGTGACCTTCGACATGGGTCACTTTTTTCTGAACGTTCTTCAGGAGACGATAACGCATCCTGACAAATTGCTTCACTTGGATTAATTCTATTGCTCGGTACTCTGACCGGAATCTTCGATTTCCTGCTAACAGACGATTCGTACGACATTTCTGATTCGTTGAACTGACTGCGACTTGTGGGACAGTTGTTTTCAGAGGAGTCGCTGCAGGCATTTGTTAGAGTCCCCTTCGTCTGTTGCTTTAAAGAGACGTTCGACAACGCCGCCATAAGGGCATCGGTGTCCAGACACCTTCTGGAAGAAACTCTGGCAGCCGGTGTCGCGACACTGGATATTTCCTGCGAATTTAATGCAAGGGTCGGGACATTCGTGAACTGTTTATCTTCAACTTCTTTATCTTCCTGATCTGGAGGATTCTCCAGCGTCGTCTCTCTCCACATGGAAAAGTTCATGCAGCCTTCGCTTCTATGTGTTTCTTCCCTCGGCTCATTCTTAACACATTCCAGATTTCTGGGTTCCTCGATATTTAACTTAGCTGAAAGGGGTTCTAATCCAACTTTGCCTCCAAAAGTATCCCTCCAGTTCCTCGAGGGACTCACAACCCTATAGAAAGTCGAATCGTGCACCGTTCTCGAGGAAGACAGAGGCGTCAAGCGATCATTCCAACCCTGGTCTTCGCTCTTGGGAGCCGAAGACCTCGAGGACAGAGGTGGTAGACGATGAGGCGAAACCGTAGGCTGCGTAGGCATCAAATGATCAATCTTCTGAATGTACACAGTCTCGTGACTGTATTCCGCTTCGCTTCCAGAGCTGAGGTTCTGCAGGATGACTCCAGTCTGAGGCCTGTACCCTCCGAACCTCTTGGGTCGAACGTGGTCCAACGACATCGGCGAAAGCGGCTGCAGATCGATTCTTCTCGGCGAACTATCACAGAACAGAGGGTTCTGCAGGGATCTTGAAGTGTCATGGTCGGAACTGTTGCGTTTGCTGCGATATGGAGTCAGACTGGGAAATGTCCTTGCGGACAGCGTTTCCATTAACGAACATCGCTCTTCAGGCTGCGGCGACCTGTTTTCGAACATGGAACTCCTGTTGGACGTTTGATCGTCGGTCGAAGTGCTCCTCGAGTCTAAACCGATGGTTTCGGTGGTGTTGGGGGCCACCATCGCCTGGAGTCTGGCACGCCTGCGCGCTCTGGCGCCCTTTTCTTCGACTGAAGTGAATGATGGCTGCTGCTCTC